ACTAACATTACCTGATCAGTTCATAATGGTTCCTTAGACACTAAATTGTCCACCTTTATTGCCCTTGACTTTAGTAGCAGGTGCGATAGAGTACTACCACGTAATATTTTCTTCCGTACTCTATCAACGTATGTCATCATAATAAAACTTACTCCTTTTGGACCTATATCTTGGTGAAACTCAATACAAGCAAAGTATGAGGCATCACCAAGATTCTTCATGTTACAGATACAAGATAGAAATTACTTGGCTCGCCAAAATATTATATCTCCACAAGTTAGTGATCTTACTCCCCCTAGTCTTATAGTATGAGTGTCCCAACGCTTGTATTATCACATAATTGTATTTCTTTAGATAACATGCCTTATGTCAACTTCACCCATGACAAAACCGTACAGTTGAGTCATACATACATTATCACTAAGTCAACACAAGAGCATGTCATAGTAATAACACAAACGTAACAACAACTCACTGAGGAAATTCTATGGAGTTCCATACATCATTAGAGTTCATAATCTTCATCCTATATGGCAAAAAGCCACTAAGATGAACATTCACACACATTATTGATCATAGGGAAATTGTTGAGTCTCAACAATAAGTGTTGCATTAGAGAAAAAGGAATCCCCTCAATTTACCTGATGCATATGAACAAAGATCTAATGGAGTTATCCTTAAGATTAATGCTCATAAGCTCTAGGTTTCCCGATGATCACTTTATTTAGAAGATGGAAAGTATATCCACAAATCTTGATAACAATCGTCTCAGCTCTAAACCACAACACCGTTGGGCTGGAGGTGGAAAAGAACTTAATGAACTGTGTGACAAATGATTATAAACGACGTTAGTCAGAAATATAACCACAAGACACATGATACTGACAAAACTTGCCACTTGAGTGAAGTGTCACATATGATTATAAATGACGTTGGTCGTATATATAATCAACATGTTACATCATGATGGTCATTAGACTAGCAAGCTTCACTTTAGCATTCATGTGTGCTTCACAATGCTCATAAGGGATTAAGTACACATTAACGTAATAAAAAGAGTAATTTTTATCCATTCTTCTAAATAAGACTTGTTGCATCTTAATTAGATAATTGACATTAGTATATGTTTTTCATACATTCTCCAACCAAGACTTCTCGTTGGTTCTATCTTTAATTGAAGAATTAACATACATATTTTGCTTAATTGTACATGCTATGATCTAAGTAGGAGAAGTGAACGCGATATCTCATATTAAATGAGACTTTCATTCTCCCCCTCGAAATGTGGTCTAAAACCACAATTTTGATGAGGTCTCATTAATCACACTCCTGTGACATCTTCAATGGTAACATAGCATATAATCTTTACATAAGATTCATTTAGTGAAAAACATAACTCGTCTCACCATATGGTGGGACTAACATTACATAAATTGAGTTTACTTAATAACATATAAAATCACGTCATCTATTTGAGAGACGAAATTAAGGTTTTCCAATAACTAGGAGCATGAACAAAACATCATCAATAAGATGAAGAATTAAGTCATCTGCAAAAGCTAGTGGAATAAATCCAATAATTTTGACTTTAATCTCCTTTGCATTAGTGATGTGTATGATGGCACATGCGTCCTCTCCCAATGTCTGCCTATCATCATGATTAAAAATCCTTCAACCTTATGGCAGAAAAACGTTGGGAGATTCTTTACATGATACAATGATCTCCACTCTCCATGTGGGAAAGATATTTACATAAGGTTCTTCTATGCCAAACAAAAGTTTGACATCATTACTATTGCTGGAAAGAGGAGACAACTTTATGATCATTATAACAAAAAAAATCAAGCATGAACTAACCATGCAATGCCATGAATAAGAACATGCGTAATGTTTATTCTAATCCGTATCACCGTTGGGCAGATAACGAAAAAGAACCATACTCATTCGTAAATGACACATGAAAAACATAATCAATGTTGGTCAGAATATCATCATATGCCATTAGAACATTTGCTCATTAAATCTCTAATCAAAACTTCTCGTTGGTTCCATTTTGACTAGAGAGATGTAAAATCTCGTAATGACCAGCAAGAACTATGGCTAAATTAATTGCCATCATTAACATAAAGCAACATCATAATATAATAATCATTTGTGCCATGAGTGATGCCTTTTGACACTAAATCTCACAACGATAATATAAATATTGAACCTAAGTGTCAAAATTATCATTAGAATTCTCAATGACATACAATGAAAATGATGTTGGAATTAACATAAAAATATAAATGTCACACCCACCGAGTAATCATTAAAGAGGACATTCAGAGTGAAAATGTCATAAATATAAATCATCATAAGAATTTCCAAAAATATAAAATTTAGATATCAAGATTCTCCAAATTATAATATTTGGAAAATTAATAATTGTCAAATAAACGACCTTGAAAAAAACCTGAACAAAGTTTCTTCATTAAGAGAATTGATCACAACCCATTAACATCATTTTGGACCGTTATGAATATTTGAGAGGTGCACATCATAATAACAATGGCATGAATTGCACCAACCAACAACTTTAGTTTTGCCCAATAGGCATATTGCCCCAACATTATTATGACACATAGTGCGGTGCGAAAAAACGAACCACGCGGCCATCATCATTTTCCTTGAGGTGGCCTGAGCCCATTACAAATGACCACATCTTTAAGAAATGTCGTAAGTGTGGCATCAACATTAAATTCACACTCAATCAAAATTTACAAATAAAATATTTAGAAAATTCAATGAGCGATTCATAATTATGCTCAATATTAATATCCTCTAATAACATTAATTTCACCATTGAAATGATACTAGAAATGCTTTCATCATTAAATAGGTACCACTAAAAAATGAACATTAATGTCACATTAAATCTTCCAAATAAAATTTCCCGTTGGTTTCATTTTATTCAGAAAATTTAAAAAACATAATTTCAACATAATTATAGGTAATTCCAAAACTTTTTTTTAGTGCATACACATTATTAGGAACTTAACAAATGCAGTAAAACTCCATAATATGCCTAAAAAATATAATTCGACCCATAACAACCCACGGCTTTCAATTAATAAAATTTCATCATCATTAAATGATTGCCATAAAAGGGACATAAACGTTATTTACAAAAATTTCAAACATGACCTTTAGCATAGTTTAGGCAATTAAAACATATTAATAGTACATTATTAAAATATTAACAACATGAATTTAATGCAACAAAAAAAAGAATTTGCCCAAAAGACATTATTTGGCCCACAGATTTCCATTAACTTTATCATCATTAACATTATTAGAAATAATTTTGGGCACATTTGTTTTGATATCACAGTGCATAAAACATTATAGAATAATATTAATACCCATAATGCACTGGAAAAAATGAAAACTGCCAAAACAAAAATATTTTGGTCAACAACAGGCGAAGGGAGCACGTTAAAGATCCGGCCCAGCAGCAGCAATTCTCAAAAACTGACCACACGAAAAAAAACAACATGGGCTGCCAGCATAACCTGGGCCTAAGCCCAGAGCCGAAACAGGCTCTTTTAGCGGCCGTAGGCCTGTCTTCTACTCCGCGTAGATCTGCGCTGTCCGATCAAATTGACGGTCCAGATCGAGCGCTGTCGGAACAAAACTGGCCACGACTTAACCCTAAATCATTTCTTCTTCCTCCCCTTCCGTTTTTTCCGCCCTACCAGCGAGAGAGCGGCGCGGTGGCCCGTGGCACGCCGGTCCATGGCGGCGTGGTGGCTTTGTTCGCCGGAGCAGCGTGCTGTGGATTGAATCCCGCGCGCTCCTCCATCGAACGTGGCGGCCCACGTCGCGCGCATGGCATAGAGGCGGAGAGATTGGAGGGCCGAGCGCCGACGCCTGTGCTTGAGGGTTTGACGACGACGTGTGCGGCGCGGAGGCCACTCAGCGTGCGTGTCCGTAAGATGCGGCGCCGGCTGCCTCGTCTCTTTTTGCATGCCGTCCCGAGAGATGGCGTGTTTCGGCCAAGATGAGCACGCATGGAGGCGGCCATGGTGAGCACGCATGGCTGCTGTCATCAATAACGTAAGTCCCAGCCCATCTTTTCTACAAATTTTCGATCTGGTCTTGGATTTGGGGATTTGATCTCTTTGCTTTTTCCAATTGGGGAAAAAATCTAGGGTTGGTCTTCCAGCTAATTGGCAAAATTTTGTGGTTCCTGAGATCAAAATTGACCTGAGATCAGTATTGACCTGAGATCAAAATTCCAACAGTCACCATCTGACTTATAATAAGTCACCTGACACACTTTCCCATACCAATCCACATCATGTAGGTGGTGAAACCTGCACAAAAGGGTTGACTTATAAGTTTTAAGTTGGGGTGGAGCAACTTATGACTTATAAGTTAGGGTGACTTATAAATAGGGTCTGTTTGACAAAATAAGTCACTTTTTCACTTTTCGACTTATAAGTTGGTGACTTATTTGGAACCAAACAATGACCTTTTGCCAAAGTAATTAAGACATGTCGGCAAACAAGGACGGAGACAGACCATGTGCAATACAGGCACGGAAGGGGGTCCCAGATGTTCAAAAACTCTTGTCATTGATTGGCGAATCGGATGGTGCACGACCGAATACATCCATATCCATCTGTGACACCAAAAGGGAAGAGAAAAGGAAAACATGCCCTCAATGATCAGAGATCCATCCTAACGCTGTGGCGGCAATCTATCAAATCACTCCAAGCTAGCTAGCACCTTATAGCTTAATTAATTAGGTACCATGCCAGTGCCGGGGATTCATTTCAGGCTCAACAAAAAGAAAACGGAGAAGAGTTTCAGGACTCGTCGTCGACGGTCTGCAGATTGAGCGCCAAAGGCTCTGAAATCTGGGTGCAGTGGACGATGTGGCAGTAGTATGTACTGGATCGATGATGAAACTCCTCGACCCATCGATCGATCGGTGGTGATGACGGAGCGCGTGGTCACGAGGCGGCGCTGTCGAGGACCTTGGCTTTGTTGTCCAGCATGGACCACATGACCTGCACGTCCTCGTAGGCGCACGCCATCACGTCGCCGTAGAGCTGCGCTGTCGTCGACGGGCTCTCCACCACCTCGCCCTGCGCCATCGCCGCCGCCGCCGCCGCCGCCGCTCCGGACCGCTTCAGATGGTGGCGCGTGCGCGGCGTCTTCTTGCCGTCGTGGCCGCTGCCGCCGTGCTGATCGTCGCTCCTCCCGCTGCCGTGCTGCGGGCTGAGGATGGTGCACGCCTTCCTGAACGGCGTCGTGATGGTGCGCTTCCAAGAACCCATACTCTATATGTGGTATGCCTAGCTAGGCAGTATACTATCTACGAAGTATCAAAACAATGGAAGTTTCTCTCTCTGTGTGTATGCAACTGTGCTGTAGAGCGAGAACCGGCTGCTCTGCCCGGTCCTGGGAGCCGATATATATCCATCGAGAGAGGAGGGTGGTGAGGGAAAGAAAGGTAGGGGAAGGTGGGGGAGGCAAGATCCGGAAGACAGGATGGGTAGGGGTGCACGTTGCGGGCGAGAGCGCCCAAGGGGCGGTAGGGACTTCCGCTGCATGTCTCTCGTCGACAGCCGCCGGATCACCTGCCCCCGCGCGATCGGACGGCTCGCAAGCCCCGGTAGGTCACCGCGGAGGGTACGCGCCACAAGAGGATTGTTTATCATTTCCCGTTAGCGATGAAGGAAGGTGAGTGAGTGAGAACAGAATCATGCGCGGGCACGTGCTCCGTGGTGGGGTGGCTCCGCGAATGATGAGGAGCAAGCGCACATGGACCCGTGGATGGGATCATGGCCGACGAGTGGACGACGACGGGCAGCGTACAGCGGCATGCGCGCCCCGCCGCCCCAGAGGCCAGAACCGTTAGCGTCCGGCCATCGCGTTCGTACGACGGCGTACGTACGCGAGGGGGAGGGCTCGTGGTCACCATGTGGCAGGTCGGGTCGGATTCGGCGCTGCCCCCACCTCGTGACATTCACTGTGTTACCAAGTGAACGGTTCTGTTCGCCATGATGCGCCCTAGATGGCTATTCATCGTGGAGCATGTCACTGTGCTATGGTGTTCCATTGTGCTACGTCAACGCTGGCAATAAAACCGGCGCGTGTTTGCCTGCCGGATCTGGATGCGTGAACCGTATGCGCTCCTAGCCGCAAGTACACTTCACGCGGCCGGCGAGGGTATATTAATATTTTCGGCGCGCGCGCACCGCGAGAGGTTTGAATACCGGCCTCCGTGACGACCGGCCCACTGACGGTTTTTCGGTGTCCGGTATCAATCAACTACTCTACTTAGCAATGTCATAGCTTCTGACAGTGCCCAACGTTTGGTAGTAAGATAGGTGCCTAATCTTGCACGCCAACCGAGGGAAAAAGAATTAGAGTTTTTTTTTTGCATCGAAATTAGAGTTTGATTACGGAAGACCTGGGGTGTTTACTTTATACGTATATATATATACGTATAATGTACACGGTGATTTACCGAAAATTAAAAATACGTGGTGCAGAGTTCCAGTGAAAACATCATGTATACCTGCACCAATGATTGTCTATGCATCAATAACTGTATTGTATTGTATTTTTATAAGAAAGATCATACCTTTAAGGTAAAATCAAACAGCCACGTGAAGGGCGGCTAAGTATCCTTGCGTGCTTTGCTTAAGTATTGGCTTTGAGCATTGACATCTAGTGTTACTAGTGAATGTATTTGTACGTGACGTGAGGGAGTCACAATGTTAGCTCGATCCGGTGGTGTAGTGTAAGACAATAGGCTTTGGGGGGAACCGGCACAACCCTCTAGGGGTGGCCTATCACATATATATATATATAATGAGGTGGTATACAACGTTACAATATACACATGTAAATACAGTCTAACACCCTCCCTCAATCTTAGCCACTTTCTAATGAATCTAGAAGGGTAAGATTGCGCCTGCAAGTCTCAAACTGTGGCAAAGGCAATGGCTTGGTGAAGATGTCAGCAAGTTGATCCTTGGAAGAAATAAACTTGATCTGTAGTTGCTTCTGAGAGACACGTTCACGCACAAAGTGATAGTCAACTTCAATGTGTTTCGTTCGGGCATGGAATACCGGATTTGCAGAAAGGTATGTAGCACCGATGTTATCACACCAAAGAACAGGAGGCTGTGATTGGGGTATACTTAACTCCTGAAGCAAGGACTGTACCCAGATGATCTCTGATGTGGCATTGGCCACAGCCTTATACTCAGCCTCAGTACTGCTACGCGAGACAGTAGCATGTTTCCGAGCACTCCAGGCAATCAGGTTAGAGCCAAAGAAGACAGCATAACCCCCCGTGGATCGCCTGTCATCCGGATTGCGAGCCCAGTCTGCATCAGAATATGCTGAAAGACAACCAGAGTCAGACGGCCGAATATGCAAACCATGAGCCACCGTGAAATGAATATAGCGCAAAATCCGCTTAACAGCAGACCAATGAGTGTCACGGGGTGACTGCAGATACTGGCAGACTCGGTTAACAGCATAGGAAATGTCTGGTCGCGTGATCGTCAAGTACTGGAGCCCACCAACAATACTCCTGTACTCTGTCGCATCAGAAGAAGAAAGAAGCACACCATCAACAGCATTGAGCTTATCAGTGGTAGACATGGGTGTAGTCGTCGGTTTGCACTTAAGCATCCCAGCTCGCTGCAACAAATCCAGAGAGTACTTCTTCTGCGTCATAACAAGGCCAGCAGCACGAGAAGTAACCTCCACACCAAGAAAGTAATGAAGCTTCCCAAGGTCCTTGACCGCAAAATCAGCACCAAGTGAGCGAACAAGCGCAGTAGCAGCCGGCTGAGAGGAGCTGACCAAAATGATATCATCTACATAGACCAACAAGTACATAGTAACCTCAGGCCTTTGAAGAAGAAACAATGAGGAGTCAGCAGTTGATGATGCAAAACCATGAGCACGAAGAGCCATTGCAAGACGAGCATGCCAAGCACGAGGAGCCTGCTTCAGACCATAAATTGCCTTGGACAGACGACAGAGATGATCAGGGCGATCCGGATCAGAGAAACCCGGAGGCTGGCGCATGTAAACCTCCTCCGCCAAGACACCATGAAGAAAAGCATTTTGAACATCAAGCTGACGAAGAAACCAACCTCGAGTAACAGCCAGAGAGAGAAGAAGTCTGATGGTAGTAGGCTTGACCACTGGACTGAAGGTGTCTTCATAGTCAAGTCCAAAACGCTGTCGAAAACCACGAGCAACCAGACGAGCCTTATAGCGCTCAATGGACCCATCAGAATGCCTCTTCACTTTGAAAACCCATTTGGAATCAATGACATTTACCCGTGATTGTGGAGGAACAAGAGTCCATGTCTGATTGCGAAGAAGCGCTTGATACTCCTGCTCCATGGCCTCTCTCCAATGAGGAATGCGCATAGCAGCTTGATACGTGCGTGGCTCAGAGGATGGATCTGCGAGAGCAGCAGACATGCACGCCGCTAACCAAGCAACTGTGCCATCGTGACGTTGCTTAGGCTGAAAAATGCCACTCCGACTACGCGTATGTGGACGTAGAGCAGCAGCAGGAGCCGGCGGAGGCAAAGGTGACGGAGACGTGACGGTCGCCGGAGATGCAGGAATCACCTCAGGCGAGCTCGGGACAGACGACTCCGGGCTGCATGGCGAAGACTGGCCCGACGACAGGGGCTCAGAGGCCATGGGCGAACCGAGAGTGGGCGAGGCCAGCTCCGGTGACACCGGCCCAGACGGCCTTGGCGAGGCGAGAGCAGGCGAGGCCGTGAGAAGGGCCCAGACACCCTGGGCGAGGCAGGGGCGGGCGAGGCCAGGCCTGGTGATGACCGCCCCGACGCCCTGGGCGAGACGGGGACCGAGGAGGCCGGCCCAGTCGGCGGGGTTGCAGGGCGCGACGATGGCGAAGGCAGCCCAGAAGCCAGAGGCGACCGGGCCAGGACGTCGATCGGCCGTGCATGAGCACGGAAATCGAGGCCATGCAGGGGCGCCATGTGCTCCTCATGCAAAACAGAAGGTGCCGAGGATGAAGGCGATGGCGACGAAGAGGAAGATGGCACTTCCAGAATCTCCAAACGAGCCCCACGACCAGTGCCTGCACCATGGTTAGGCAACAATAGAGGAGAATATGCAACATCATCAAATTGGTCAGAAGCAACAGAGGATGAATGCATGACAGGTGGCTCGGTAGTGGACACAGGGAGTTTGGCAAAGGGAAAAACATGCTCATCAAACACAACATCCCGAGAGATGTAGACACAATTAGTGGGCACATGAAGACATTTGTATCCTTTATGAAGAGAGCTATAACCAAGAAAAACACACTTCTTGGAACGAAACTCGAGCTTACGCTTGTTATATGGACGGAGATGGGGCCAGCAAGCACACCCAAACACCTTGAGAAAGGTGTAGTCCGGTTGTTCATTAAGGAGAACTTCAATGGGAGTCTTCATATTCAAAACACGAGTGGGAGTACGATTGATGAGAAAACATGCAGTGGTGAAAGCATCACTCCAAAAACGAAACGGAACAGATGCATGGGCCAAAAGAGTCAGACCAGCTTCAACAATGTGACGATGCTTACGTTCTACTGAACCATTCTGCTGATGTGTATGTGGACATGCTAAACGGTGAGTGATCCCAAGCGACTGAAAGAAGGAGTTGAGGTTGCGATACTCGCCACCCCAGTCCGACTGAACATGAACAATTTTGTGCTTGAGAAGGCATTCAACATGTTTTTGGAACTGAACAAAAATGTCAAACACATCAGATTTACGTTTGATAAGATAAAGCCAGGTGAAGCGGCTGTAAGCATCAACAAAACTGATATAATAATTATGACCACTAACAGAAGTCTGAGCAGGACCCCATACATCTGAAAACACAAGTTCTAAAGGATGTTTCACCTCACGACTGGACTCCGAAAAAGGAAGTTGATGACTCTTCCCCTGCTGACAAGCATCACACACTGCTACATCTTTATTACTAGACACACTAGGAAGCTCATGACGACGCAAAACATGTCGGACAATAGGTGTGGCCGGGTGACCAAGACGAGCATGCCACTGTGACGGAGATACCCGAACTCCACTGAAGACGCGAGCGACGCCAGGATGCTCCAGACGATAGAGACCTTGGCAGAGCCGCCCACTAAGAAGAATGTCCCTCGTGCCCCGATCCTTAATAAAAAGATCAAAAGGATGAAATTCACAAAGCACATTATTATCACGAGTGAGTTTAGGAACTGAAAGAAGATTACGTGTCACAGATGGAACTCGAA